ATAGTTCGTCCTTCCAGCAGGCCTCTGCGCTATCCCAAGACACTGAACACCATTCAGAAAGCCAGCGGGACTGTTCAGCTTTTCTGTCTAGGGTCATACCCCAGCTGCGTTCACTTACGCTTGGGAACTTGATAAAAATGTCTTCACAAAAAAAACATAACAGTAATGGGATAATCCATTCAGTTGAAAGTCACATCAAGACAGGGATGATGGAACAAGTGCACAGAGTTTTGGTTACTAGAAACTATTCTAACAAGGGCAGAAGGATCACATTAATGGCGGCACACACTTCACCGATTTATTGCATTGAAGCCATTTATCTAGTGACAAGTCCTGCAGAAAGAAGAATGAGCCAAGCTGGTAAATTTTTTCAGAGAACAACTTTACCCACAACATCCTCTTTAAACCTGCTGAAGAGTGTACTACTGCTGAAACCCATGAGCACTTTACCCCAATAACAGAGATGTTTCATTGGGTAACTGAAGCCAAATTTCATCTCTTACCCATCTGGAAGAATTCCGCAACATGATCACCAGAATCATGAGTTCTACTTCAGGCTCACCGTATCTCAAAATAGACCTCACCAGCTTCCGCATCCCATTCCGTTACAGGGATCACATTATCTGGGATCCTGCCACAGCATGCTGGGTCACAGCATCTATTCCACAACAGGCACTTCCTTGCTAAAATGTGATGGTGGTAGTGACAAGACATGCATCTCTTCTCAGTCTCCTTATATTGCAACGATCACTCAGACACAGACAAATGCGTTGGAACAGGAAGGGAACTAGGGTATCTTGAGGAAAAAAAAAAAATCATCATCACACATGCCACTTGGAAATTCTTCATCTAAAACTCAACCATAAGCCACCAGTATCAGAATTTAGAGCAATCTGGGCAAACACAATAGAAGGAGCGAGCATCTTCCTAATCATCCAGTAATAATCACCATGGCTGTCAACCCTTACCATTGCTACAATACAAGCAAATATCACCGTGTTTCCCTGCTGCTTACGACTGCTTGGTGTAGAGGCCTGTGCCAAGTTACCTTCACAAGCATAGCAGCACATGGAGAAGAGGCCTCAAGGCATCCCTTCCACTGGCATCAAACAGAAAACAAGAGTGAGATGCCAGCCTGCAAGGAAAGCATTCAGTGAGAATTTCAGAGAGCCTTACCTATGTACAGGGAGGAATCTTTCCGCCTCACATGGTCATCAATGTAGGAAACTCCCAGGGGCTGGACAGGGGTAGCACCAATGCCCAGGAGGACCTGTGCTCCAATGAGCAGCAAGTACATCATGTTGGTAGCCGTCCTATTCCTGCAGATAAGGTCCGGGTCTGGTCCCTCATCACTGGTGGACCCGTTGGCAGCACACACATCCCTCCCTTCAGCCCCCCAGCGTATTTCTCCTGATTCATATTCGTACTGGTGGGTCAGAAATTCAGGCAACGCGGAAAGGAGGGCACCCAAGGCCATGACTATCCCTCCACATCCTATCAAGCGTGGCCGGTGTCCTCGGGCTCCAAAGTAGCTCACGAAGAGGATGAGGGCCAGGTTGCCAATCTCGAAGCTGCTGGCAATGACGCCCACGTCAGCACTCTGAAGGTTGAATCGCCGCTCCAAGGTGGTTAAAACACTCACCTACAACAGAGAAATCCAGAGAAAATTACTGAAAGGGAATACGACCTGCCTTCTGTCCTCCCCATATGTCCTGCTAAAGCGTAAGTTTCCTTGACTTTCCCTTGGAGCCAAAAACATACAACGTCAAGGACATTCAAATCACGGTATAGAAGTAGTTGACCTCCAAGCATGACCTGACTATTCAAATACAGCCACATCAGAAGGTCCTAATACCAAGTGACATTTCACAGCCTACCACCTGTCTGAGCACATGTTCACTTCCAAATTCCTGTGTACATCAATGTATATTTTGGGTGCCTGCAGAGACCCACGACTCCGTGACTGGTTAGGCTCTCTTTGGGCTCCCTTTCTATTTGAATGCACAGCCTTCGCGTTGCAAACACTGTCCCGCAGAAGCAAGGCACAAACCACATCAAGCCTTACATCATGCCAGGCACCCAATCTTTTCTCTTGAAATGAATCGCAGTTAGCAAGCGGCAGAAAACCTTGCGGACACTTGGCTCGCACACCAGCACAAGGCCATCAAGTCAGTCAGAGACAGTGATGCACAAATAGGCAATTTGGCCAGCATAGAAGGCTTCTATTAAAGTATATAAATAAAATGCTGATCAAAGGGTTTAAACTGTTTGTGGATTAGTTAACGACTGGGATCGTCACTTACAGAATGTTTTTGAGAAGACAGGCCAATTAAGGTTTACATAGAAGATTTAAATCCACCACGAAGAAGAGAAGATTTAACAAATAGTGGTTATTTAACACTAAGAAGAGAGAAGCACATGAATAGTCTTCAAATATTTAACGTTGCTGCGAAATCGAATGACCTGTTCTTTGTATTCAAAATGGGCAGGACAAGTGACAGGTTTAAACTGCAGCAGAAATGATTCAGGTTAAATACAAGGTGGGGAGAAACCAGACTTTTACTGGTAAGGATTGTGAAGCACTGAAATATGCTGCCTGGAGATGCTGCAGAGGTCTTTAAAAGAGCATAGACCAGCATCTGTCAGGAAAGACACAGGTATGACTGATCTTGCCATAGGGCAGGAAAATGAACCAGATCGTCTCTTGAGAGCTCTTCCAGTCTTGATTACTGGGGTGCACTGAAACACAATGTGGATTTCCTGCATCAGTCATAGCAGACATGATCAGAGTATGAAAATGAAACATTAGGTCCCTCACTTGCCGTCATCCCTGCTCAAGGGAGACACGGAGACAATTCAGCGCATTCTCATGTCTATAGCAGTGTCCCCCTTATACAGGAAAAAAAACCCAAAATAAATCTTGAACATGTCACAGAAATGCCAAAAACTTTTACCTTGGATAAAAGACTCTTTTGTTTCTCAGACTGCAAAAGATGAAGATATTTAAGTTGTCCTAAAACAGGCAGGTTTCTCTATTAAAAAAAACATAAAGACCTCAGAGCAGAAGGTAGCCCCTGGATAGAATAAAAATAGTCTCCCACTGGAGGCACTGAAAATCTTTGCTGATAAACCTCACAAAGCAGGAGCCAGTCTGACCGACTTTAAAGTATTCTGACAGAAGCTCTTCTCCGGGGGCAGTCAGCCTCTGTTAGGGTACACCAGGGCACAGTTGGACAAAGACAGCCCCATCAGCAACAAAACGGAAAAACAGAAACAACCCACTTCTGCTGCTTTGCATAAGCAAAAGCTCCCAAACCTGACCCTGATAAGTGTCCAGGTCAGATCTCCAAAACTGGACTGTTTTAATGATTTCTGAAAATTCAGCCTTCATCCTGTACAGGCAGTTATCATTTTATACTACCACTGTAATCCTCCCCCACTGAAGAGCCAAGAACTGAGCAAGGCAAAAAAAAACCCCAACCTAAAATCAAACCCTATGACTGAAAGACTTCACGCCAAAGCCAAGTGAAGATGTGCATGTCAGAGGAGAGGAGATTGCCACTTCATCTGAAGCACCGGGTACCGGTACCTTTTGGGATGAAATGGCTCTGTGATTCACCAGGGGAAACGATGTCCTCTTGTGCAAGGGCACAGCACAGCCTGTCCCCACGCCAGCAACCTCGGCCACGCTGCTCGGCAAGCAGTGCTTGAGCACACATCTAACAGCAACATCGCTGTTCCCAACCCTCCAAGGGAGCCAGGGCGACAGAGCTGAGCAGGTAGGGACAGACACTGCTAGAAAACACTACGTTGGTATTTTCAAAGCAAGGCACACCAAGGTGGAAGGATATGGACAACATCCCATTGCCCCAGGCAGCCCCACCAGGCACTCGTGCAACAGGGCTATATTTATCATCCACAACACAGGACTGGTTTTATTGCAAGGTGTGATCTAATGGGGCTGGTGCAGTCAGACTGGTAGGACTCCAGACTTCCAACACCACACAGCAAATACCAACTAACTCTAAGTGATGCAAAGCTCCTGCTGTGCGAGCCCTCCTTCATGCTACCACCTCCAGCATGTCCCTAGAGGAACTCGGCTATAGTTGAGGTCCCATGAACACCAATTTTGGCAGAATGGGGAATCTCTCCAAGATGACTACGTAACTTTTGAGCGTGCAAAATCATGTCTATGGTGCTCATTTCTGAGCTGTACCTAGATAGGAAATTCATAATTACTCATTACAGCTGTGTAAACTAAGGCATTGAGAGCCAAATATTAAAGAGACAAGTACAGTCAACAAAATTAATTTGTGATAGAATAATTTAGGGTGGAAGACTGAAAGCCAACAGAAGTGATTTCCCAAGGCCAACTGGTATTAACTAGCTTTGGAAGTCTCTCCCACTTTTCAACCTGGCTGCCAAATTTTAGGCGTTTACCATACATATACACAAGTGGCTAGAAAGCAGGATGGTATTTAGAAATACTTGGGTGCCACACCTTACAAGGGTCAGATTTTGGATTTCAGATAAAAAACTGCATCATTTAAGTGCAATTCACAGTGACAGGGACAGTAAATTGGTGACAAACCTGGGAACTAAAACCAGAAGTCCCAGTTCTCATTCTGCTCTTATTTCAGTGGGACTTCAGTTGTTCTTTGCCATTTTACAAAAGCTAAACCACTCACAACAGGGAAACAGAGTCTTACCATCCCCTAACAGTTTCTTGCTTTGCTTTGGTGAAGAGACTGAAACAAAAGGAGGAGAAGGACGACACAAAGCAAACTCCAACCCTCCTGATAAAAGCCGGCAGGAGTTCTCCTTATTCCTCTGGCTGGACCACACTGTGTTTCCCAGGTTGCTCCTTCTGGCTGTAGCACTGCCACCCAGTGCTACCAGCTCTGCCTTTGTTAAGTGGGGTATATGGGATGCAGGGGGGGCACGGTGAAAGAACAAAACCATCACATCAGTCTAGAGCATCCAGAGGAAAACAGCATCCAAGTACAAAGCGCTGAGACCAGCATCAGCAGAGAAGCCTCCACGACACTGACAGTCACAGGGTGGAGGCAGGGGAAAATCCCAAAATAAAAATAAGGCTGGGAAATAAACTGTCAACATGCAGATTTTTAGCCAGAAACACCAGGAACACAACTGCATTACATCCAGGGTGGCTGCAGCCCAGACAGCACAGCCAAATTCTTGCTTTGACATTGGCTGTGACCTTAAATACACAGGCGGACTACAAAATTGGCATTAGCACAGCAGAGATGTTACCTGCATTTATTCCAAACAAACCTCTGCCCATGGCTAGAGTCATTCTCCCACCCTCCTCTATATCCCACCTTTATGGGGCTTCCTGCATATAAGGTGTAAATACTGACTAAATACTTCAGTTTGCATGTGGGATACTCCTGGTGCCCTTGTAACTGTTAGATAAGAGCACTGTTCTGCCCGTATTTCCTTTCACAAGCCTGCTTCCCAGCAGATAAGCCATCACTGCTCCTAGACACTAACTCTATTTATCGAGAGTTACATAAAATGTTGCAAAAGACACGACAGGTCCCTGTAAAATACTGACGTCATGTGAAAAGGCTGCAAGAATTATAAAGAGTCCCTGTGTGCTGAGACCAGGTTGAGCATTCAAGAGTGCAGCCCACGTGGATGTTGGTTTAATAGCAGGGATGCAGGGAATGGAGTGATGTGGCAGCACAGCGGCTTCAGATGGACAACCTCCTGCTAAAACACAGCGGGAAACACCAGGAGCCCACGTTATTAGCTGTGAAGCTGCTATTTCCTGGCTTCTGTCAATTTACACAGCTGTTTTGCCAGGGCTGGAAAGATTAGATTAAGAGGATATTCAGTTAAAAAAGCTTCTAACCTAAGATGAAAACAGTTACCAGGAAGCTATGACAACATCCAGTAAAATTCATGCAGACAAGATACATGAGACATGCAGTTTGACCCCAAAAAGTTAGCGGTGTGAAACCACCCACTGGACCAGACAAGTCCAGGGAAGGCATGAGAGAACAGAGGTAGAGACAGCGTTGTAATCGTGGCAAATGCCAGAGCCCACGATGTTGGGAACAGCACTGAAGCTACAGCTTCGTATGGGTACGCGCCTGTGCTAAAGACAGCTGTACCTTGCCTGCTACTCTTATGTCCTCATGTCTGTCCTGCAGACCAGTCCTTAGCAGGTCATTGAGGCTCCGACCAGCAAAGTACTTTAGCTGCAGCACTGTACATAGCCCTCAGTCGTGCCAGCCTCGTTGCCTTTTTCCATGTCTCAAGGCCTCTGCCACCCCTTTTGATAGGAACTGCCTTTCTGCATCCTCTGTCTCCAGCAGCATTCCCATTTCATTCACTCCAGACACCTCCCACCCAGTTTTTAAGAGCAGCTCCACTAAGATTTAGCTACAGCATTAGAGAGATCAACAGGACTGTGCGGCTGTTGTTACTCCACAAGTTCACGCTCCTCCAGACTAAGTCTACACCAGATCAGTCAATTGGACCACCATAAACTAAATCAGGCTGGGCACCTGCACACCTTGCTCACACAGAAAGCAGGCTCGGGATCTAGAAAGATCATGTAACTCAGCCTTCTGCCTTTCTGTGAACACACCGCCTAACATACAATAACAAGAAGTAATTAAAACTTATACCATGCTTGCGCTATCTCCTCTTCTTACAGAGCCATAGAAGTCTGCACACATGTGTTTTTCTCGGGTGATTTCGATGACCAACCTCAAAAGGACCTGGTCTAACGGGGCCTCCTAAGTCCACCCTAAAACACTCTTCAATGATTGAAAAAGGAAAATGATCTCACATAATGCACACAGTGATAAATGACCCACATCAAAAAAAGAGAAAAGAAATCAATCACCACCTTAAAATTTTCCAGCCAAAGCAACTTACATTGCAACGCCTGTAACTAAATCCAGGGAAGCTTTTGCCATGCCATTCTGGACTTATTTCAATAATACATGCTCACATTCATCATTCTTGTCTGCCCCAAATCTATAGAACTTGGCATTTCTGAACCAAGGTAAATTTGTTCTCTCTATAGGCTGTTTATTTTATATTAATGCTCAGCAAAAATGCAATCCACAAACCTGCTTCACACTATTGCCCCACTTTATCACTAAGAAATGAACTGAAGGCTGGGGACACCATTATTGAGTCAGAGACACGGTGCATTGAAAATGAATATCATATTGTTCGTATCTCCAATGATCAAGTCATATTCACCCACAGAGTCTACAGATAAGTTCATTGTATTAATAATACAGGGTTATATATAGAAAACACATTGACTTTATGCCTGAAGGGTCTTTTTAAAAGGCTTCTTTTTAATGTAAAATACATTTTCTCAGTTATGTGGTAAGAGATCAGACTTGAACAGACATGTCTGCAATGCTACAGGGTGTAAAATAATTGCCTGGCAACTATGTTCCCAAAGGAAAACAAACATGAACCATCTCCCGCAGTCTCCATTACAGAGCCGGAAAACACAAGATTCCTCAAAGAGCCAAAGTGACGATCCCCGGAACACAGCCGCTGCTTCCGCGTACCTTCTTCAGATGTCACCTCATCCTCTCTTCCAGCAGCCACGTGGGACGGAGCAAAGGGCATCCCATAGTTGGAGGCAAGCTCTCCTCCCTGTAGAGCTGGTACCCGTGGACTCATCCCCCCTTGCCACCCACCCTCCCAGCTGACAGCACAGCCACCAGGCTCAGGCTTGAAGCCCAAGGGAATGATGCCGATCCTCTGCTCTAATGTTTTGCTGCTCCACAATCCCGGCGTTGAGATGATCACTTGTGATTGAGCCCAA